GCAGCAGCAGCAGCAGCAGCAGCAGCAGCTGTGGTTGGCACAGCAAGAGCAGCCAAGAAAAGAAAGAATGCAGGAAGGGATTGTTTCTGGTGGACAGTCAAACAAGGGCCTGGAGAGGATCAAAGGTTCCTGGGCCTGCCAAACACTTACTAATCCTCTGTCTGAACATCCTGATCGTTTTTTTTGCACCGAAAAAAGTCTGTCCAGGAGTTGATCTGTTGGCTTGAAAGCTTGTTGGAAGCCCCCAAACACTGGTGTGAAAAGGATCAAGTGGCTCCTTGGCCTGCTGAATACATACGAATCCTCTAACTGGTCATCCTGGTTTGCATTTTTGCAAAGAAGATAATTTGCCCAGTAGCTGATCTGTTGGCTTTAACACTTGTTTGATTTTCCCCAGTACTGGTGCGAACTTGTGCAATCAACTGGTCATGGATTGGGTTGACTATGTGGGCGAGGCAACCAACAATTGGATGCAGATTGCGCGTGTATTGCTTGGAAAAATGGTTTTCCTCACCTGTTAGATCTACTAGCTGTTGAGTGAGTATAGGTTCAGGATCTTCGACCATGACACACTTCTTAACATGGGAGGTTCCACAAATCCTATTAGTGACAAATCCGTCCACCCATCCAATCCAATTGGAAGGTTTGCAATTTATTGGATGCTTTTCTAAGGTAAGGTTACATCGCTATATTCGCCTACAAGGGCAGCTGAGCGGAAGCACAGACCTGGAACTAGACAAGTCTTCAAAAAAAAATGCGAACAGAAACGTCAACTGTTGAGAAACATGCGCACATAGTACCACCTGAAGCAGAGGTTCTCCAAGTAAGCACTGAGAAAATGGCACAAGAAGTCTTAACCAGAATGCTCATATGTTTGACTTGAAACTCCAGATATTCAGACACCAAGTAATTCTGGTGAGGGCGATCGTGGAAGCCCTTTCCTTAATGCACGCCCTGAGACCGCTAAGTGCATAGAGCGTTGGAATTTTCAGTTCTTTAGAAACCAGGTGCAAGGAGAGAAATGATCAGATGCAGATTTGCATTGGATGCTTTGCATGCTCTTGGAGCTGTACCAAAACGTAGAGATAAGGAAAAAGAGACACACATGCCAGCCTGCAGGTTCTGCAACGGCTTGCGCGTACACAACCAACATCCCAAGGAACTTGACAAAACACAAAATGTAGATGGCTTTCAAAAAATAGGACAAGGAAAGGGCTTTTGTACTTTCCAACAAGGGCAGCATAGGTGAAGCAGAAAGGTGCCTGTAACCAATTTCCAATAGGAATCATATTCTCTCCGACTCTGCTCCAAAGCAACACGTGGATTTTGGCATCCCAAAATCTATTCTTGGCCTCTAAATTAACTTGCACATGTAAAAGTATATGTAGGACACAGCCAGCGTGCATTAAGGAAAGACCCAACAATCAGCGCTGGTACTAAAAGTGAGCCCCAAACTGCACTTGACAATAGAGCCCCAAATAAGTGTCCGAAATGGGAATTTGGTACAAAATGCACAGAGTTTTTGACCTACAGCCAGGTAGTTGGCTGTTTGGCTATCAAAAGTGTGTGAAATTGACTATAATTGTCTGTACAATCTGAAGTTCCTCTGTGTATAAGAAAGCCAGGAATTCCCGGCAACAACGGTATGGACTCTTTGCTGAGGAAACACATGAGAATGCAGCATCATCAAAATTTTCATGATAAGCGGGGAGCTCTCCAAAAATCATGATACGCATAGCGGACCTAGTTGTTCACTGTTTCGTTACTTACATCAATACAATCATGTGTTTGTGACGGACAAAACAGAATGGCATGCTCTTTGTGAAGTTCCCCCATGCAAACGGCCCATAGATCTTACTGTTTTCAAGTAGAACGCACATGTGTCCAGGCCTACTCAGCATACCCTTCGCCCTGAAAATTTGGCTGCTCTGCCAAACAAAATTGCTTGGTAGCGCTGCAGTTCAGAGGGGCTTGAAGTTCAAGGTGGCTGGTGGTAACCTTTTGCAGCCTGTTCATGGCCAGAGTTAGAAAGCCAGCCATCCGGCTGGATCCATGGATCCACCCTGAAAGGTAGCATGCTGTCCAAAGACATATTTTCCTCCCAGCAACCAGAATTTAATGGCCTGAACCAACTGGTGCAACCAACAAATTTTGGAAGCAAAGATTTAGAGCAAAACATTTGGAGCGTATAACGGGAGCTCTTTACGCGAATCCGAAGTAGTGCCTAACACGTGATGTTGGAAATGAATATAAAAAGATTTTTTTGAATTTGCCAAAAATTTCTGTGGCTGTTAAGTCGAGTCGCACAGTTTTGCAGGGAATCCCTTGGATAAGAACCGTGTAGATGCGAATTCTGTTCGTGGTAAAATTTATCACGTTAAGACGCCTATGCCAGTGGTTCGCGAGGCTTAGGAGGACCTAATGCAGCGGCAGCAAGTACAAATTGGTATTTATTGGCGGAGATGTGAACAAAAAAGGGATTATTTTCTCGCAGGAGGATATGGGTGATCCATTTAAGCATCCGGTACCAGCCAATCAGTTTAAGTCCTTATTGTTCTGGTGAGAGTAGGGTTTACATGCAGCCCGGTCAGATGAAGTCGTTCAAGTTGAAGCTAAAATACGATGGCAGGTTGAAGGATGTGATCATAGGTACAAGCGAGGCAATAAGTCCGTAACCGCAAGGGCAGAAGGATGGATTTGGTACGTGCAATCTGATAGGATTGGAGAAGATTATGCGTACCGGCAGTGATGTGATCACGCTGAATTGTAACCCGCAATACGATCATGGAGCGGTGGTGAAGAAGATTGTAAAGCCTTTTCTGCCAGAGGGTTTTAGCACGGCGGAGGCCACAAGAGCATAAATTGAAAATGAAAAAGAAGAATGTATTGTGGTATATTTGGTTTGGTAAATGAGACAACGGTTGCGTAATGAATTGTAGAGGACCCGCCAAGGACATGAGACAGAAGGCGGCGCAGGCCGCAACGAGGAGCCGATCGCGAAAGGCACCGCAGCGTCCGCGGCCGAGTAAAGCCCAAAAACCAACCCTTTAATAGAAAAAGATAGACAAATAGATAAATAGATAGATAGATAGACAAATAGATAGATAGATAGATAGACAGATAGATAGATAGATGAATAGATAGATAGATAGATAGATAGATAGATAGATAGATAGATAGATAGACAGATAGATAGATAGACAATTACTTATACTTGACCCTGGTGTTGCCACTAACTTGCACTGGATATGGTCAACGCAAAAAAGTGGTCCATCCGCCATCCGATCCCTCAGGCCTGGGCATGCAGGATACCAGGGTCACTGCTGTGTCATTATAGTGCATCAAAAGGAGAGGAAATGGCCTTGCGGGCAGAGGTTCCATTGCCAAATAAAAATCAATAATCGAAAAAACTTGCGCATACTTACGCCCAAAAACCACGTTGGCTCCCCCCCTTGCCTCAATTAGTGCAATTAATGGCGAAAAATGATTAATTCATGCAAGTAATGATTAACACCCCCCCCCCCCGCCGGTCCATTAAGCATTCATTCCTCGCAATTAATACGGAGATTCAATGAATTACACTTCTGAACTGCTTGTTGGAAATGCAAAAGCAATTGATCCACCAATTTTCCGTGAAATGCAATTAATCAGTGCAAGTAACGCTGAATTAATTGCAAGTGGTTGAAAACGCACCTTGAGGTGTTGCAGGTAAGCCAAGGGYATTTTTTTTGGCATTTTAGGCCAAAATTGGWCAGTCCCCTCGAAAAGGGTGCCATGATGCATGTTTTGACCTGATTTTGCCCCGTGTTTTGGCTTCYAGGTAGGTTTTGTGTCAAGCCTGACCCWTCRGTGTAGAAAAACAGGACGGTGAAGATTCGTCCCAAAGCACTCAAAGCATGAGCGTCTGTCCGCCAGGCAAAAGTGGTGCAAAACTGGAAACCAGACAAGCACAGCATCTGGCCACAACCTGAGTATGCAGTCTTGTCGATTATGTTTCTCAAGTATGCCCTGACAAGTTTGGGGGGCCCAGGTGCGGGTGTGCGTGCCTCTGGGGCTCGGTCAAGGCCGGGAGCGGTCAAGGCAAAGGACTCAAGTTTCACTGCATGGCCTCCCCAATTGTCACCAGCAAATTAAGGATATAAATGATGCCAACTATTAAGCTGGGCGCAGGAGTCGGCTCCCCAAACGGTGCAACCTGTGCCTCTCGCATAGAATCCAGGTTTTCCCTGCCAAAATTGGGCGACTTGCTGAACCCCCGCCCCAGCCCCGGCCCCCCTAGAATATGCTCTTGGTGAAATGCCCAACCATCACTGTAGGTCAGGTAAGCCAGCGCTATTGAGAAAACTTTCTTCAACTCTCAACCAGGTCAGGCACGGGGTACTGCTAGTAACCCTCCTGCTCCCCACTGACTTCTTTCTTCTGTTTTCTCTCGGTGAGGAGGATACACAGTGCCTCGGCCCTAGGTATCCCCTTTTCCTTAATTGATGTGGGGAGTGTTTTCACTGCCTGCGTAGTTTTTCTTTCTTTTCTTTCTGTCTTCTTTCAGGTAAGCCTGAGGGGTGCTTCGAGAAGACACGTTTCTGGCAAGGTGGGATATGCCTGATTCCTGCTCCCCATCCTGGATCCCCCCTCACCACAAACTGGGTGTGTGAAGTTGCTCAGAAAGATGAAATTGAATACCTTGCATACTCAGATTTGGCTGGTTCCATTGGGGCAAGAATGCAAACCTAGATGCCCGACCTGTCCTGACTGAAGAGATAGATGTCCAACAAGAGAGCCCTCCTCTTGCGAGGGCATCTGTGTCCCGAGGGGGTGTTGCAAAAGCCTCAACCCAAGGCTAACTGAATTTCATGTCAACTTGTTCCCTCCATGCAATTTCCCCGCAACCCCGAAATCTATTCCATTGCTCCTACTGTAAGGACTCCCGGACATTTCAAACTGGCACGCTGCAAAATTTTGCAACGAAGAAGATTGCGAAGACTGTGCCTGCGTAGGCAAAATGCGTTCAGGGGGACTCGAACCCCCGTCTCCACTTTGGAAGAGTGGTGTACTAACCCCTATACGATGAACGCTTTTCGAGTTGWTGGCCGTTAAATTTTAAAAACATATATACATATTATAAATGTTTCAGGAGCATGGAAACAGCATAACTTTGGGAACACACGTGTCCGGCCAATTAAGAATTATATATTCGGAATCCTGAGATCGAGAACTATCGATTGGTATACATATGGGTTCGATCCGAGGTAGGGGGGGTGGGGTGGGTGGTTGAGGGGGGGTACAGGTTTTTGGGACCCACCCTCCAGAATTTTACTGAGCCACTTCCACAGGACCATAAACACATCATTGGATTCCTCAGCTCGAGAACTGTCAAGTGGCACCCTCTTTGAGAAAATCGGGTAAAAGGGGGGGGGCCTCTGTGTATGAAACAGTCAGTAGCACATGTGCATGCGTATAGGCTACTGGGGGTGCCAAGGCAAAGATGCGGCAAACAAATCCAAACTTCCATGACAATGATGGTATGAAGTCAGAAGAGCAGTTTATGGACTTGCAAGCCAGTTGTGGGTGCCTAGAAGGGAAGGTTTGCATGGGCGTTGACGTCTGCTCTTCAGTTTTTGCCCCACAACTCCGCTCCAGCTCGATGTTTGACTGAACCAAGTAAGCAGATGGATGGGGAATTCAAAAAGGAGCAGATTGACCTTTTTGTCACCGTAGGGTTACTGCAAGGGGGGTTTTGGGGTGGGTGGGTGGGTCAAGGGGGTCCCACCCAGTTTTTGGACATGTGTTCCACTACTTTTTTTTTTACCCTCCTGAGTATATATCACATTTTTTCCATATGCATTTGTGCGTGTGCATATTTGTGCTGTCTGTCTGCTGCCAGGTCCCTGCCGGTTTCCGGGATTGAACCCCGGGCCTCCCGCGTTCACTAGGGCCGCGTTTCACCCATTAGGCWACAATCGAAAAAAATCTGAAGGAATCCGATCCCGGAAGTTTCCGTCATGCCCTCAAGCCTTACTGAATAAAAAGCCAACTCACTAGCAGCCAAGCTTAAGGACCATGCCACTCGAAGATTAACCACTATCAAAAACAYTGGACACGCTCTTTGCTATCAGGGGGCTTCTGGGAGGGGGTTTGCYGGGSGCGYGTAGGYGGAGGATGGGARAGGGATCGTCCGAGCGTCCAGAGGCATGGCGAGTAGCACCCCTCCAGATCCCCATTAGAYCTGTTTTTGGCTCTTTCCTAAGGTAGCTGTGTCTAGTGTAGGTTCTGAGGGCCTTCTGGTGAGGCCTCTAGCTTTCCAGTTAGAGGACCTACCMTTAATGCACGCGGCCTTTGGCTTGCATAGACTTTCCTTTTCTTTCTTTTCTTCATTGCCATTTTGCTCGGGCTCGCTTGGGGAGATAGCTTTTTCTTGTGACAATTTAGCATATAGAGAGAAAGCTGCTAGTTCTAGCTGAAAACGTCTTATCCTCTCCTTAACTGCTCAAAAAAGAACCAACAATTCCCTGAGCCCAAGCTYCTTGGTTCMATGCAAATAACATTAGGATATTTCTATTTGCATGGCATTTATGTTCATTCTTTCTTTTTTATATCATGCTCTTGTATTTTGTGACATCATGCTTTTGTATTTCGATGTCTACATCAGCTCCTCCTGCTCCTTTATATCATCATGTGTTTAATCTGTTGTTTGCATCCTTTGCATCCCTGTGCAGAGTCGATGCACTAAAAGCAAAGTCAAGATCCAGAAAAGTGGACAGAGCTAACTTAACAAGAGGCTCGTTTGGCGCACACAGGAAGAAGTGAGGAAAAGAACCCTGAAGAGAATGCTTGGCAACGCTGACGAGGTCAAGGCCTTGCATTCTTAACCCAGCGCTGTCAACTTGAGGAGCCTCCACTACTCGTCCTTCATCGTTTCTTCCACTGCAAAAGGACAGTTTTGTAGGTGGGGTACTAAGAAGGACGCTTGAGAATAGTAAGCAAGAGTTGCAAACAAGTCTGCATGTGTTTTCAACGTGCCACTGGGGCCACTATAAATGTTCTATTGCTCCAGTGTGAAATTGAACTCCAAAGCAATTGCCTTTTTGACTCGTCTGCACATTTGAAGTGCATGTTTGAAAGCTCTCAAGATCCGGTGCTGCATTGTCCTGATGGACTTTCTTGCTACAGTACCAACAACCTGCGCAAAGCAAAACAACTTACCCATTGTTTCCATTTTGTTGTTTCAGGCACGTTCTGCCGGAAGATGCGGTCAACAGCAGCTTCTGTCACGCCAAGCTTGTGTGCCACCGATGGCTTTGTCACATCCTCCTTCTTCGTCCTAACTGCACGGGCAGCCTCCTTCACATCCTCCCATGTACGGTCTGGCCATGTGGCACGTGCCTCTTCCAACTGTGCCTTGGTGATTGGGGATCCAAGCTCAAGCTGCACATGCAATGGAGAGCCAGCAAGGCGTTTTAGGAAATTCACATGCAATGCAAATGGCGGGAATGCAATCCTTCCTCACCAAACGCGTGTGGTGCAAAAGGCGTCTCCAACAAGCACCTTATTGCAACTCGATGCATGCGCTCCTATTTCTTGCAAAAAGCTTGTTTGATCGGCCTGCATACACCAGATCAATGCAAATTGTACAGGAATGAGTTGGAAGTGAAGATCTCCCCAGAGCATTCTATTCTCTCACACACACACACACACACA